GCCGGAGAGCGGGAACGGGACGTCTGGGGCGGCGGGAGCCGCGCGGCGCAGAGGAACCCCCAGGGCGTCCCCAGGGCCGCCCCGCCCGGGCCCGGCGGGAGGGCGCCGGGCCGGCACACGGAGCCCCGGTGGCGGCGGGGCCGCACTCACCCGCGGCTGCGGCGGGCCATGGCGGGGCCAGGCGGGGTCAGGCGGCGGCGGCGGCGGCGGCGGCGGCACTTTCCTATCTCGCGCCAACGGCGCCCCCCCCGCGCGCGGGGCCGGGCCGCGCACGCGCGTTGCCGCCTCCCGCCTGCACAAAGAGGCGCGCGCGCGGGAGGGCGCCCGCCCGCCCCGCCCCCTGGGGGCGGCCCCGAGCCGCCCCCCACACTCCGGACACCCCCACACTCCCCCGAGCCCCCCAGACACACACACGCACACCCCGAGCCCCCACACATCCCGAACCCTCCCACTCATACACACTCCAAGCCCCCCCGTACACCCGGATCCCCCCTCACACACCCCCTGAGCCTCCCACACACACCCCCTGAGCCCCCCCACACACACACACAGCCCCTGAGCCCCCCCCACACACACACACACCCCCTGAGCCCCCCACACACACCCCCTGAGCCCCCCTCACACACCCCCTGAGCCCCCCCCCACACACACACAGCCCCTGAGCCCCCCACACACACACCAAGCCCCACACACACACCCCAAGCCCCCAGTACAGCCCGATCCCCCCCCCACACACACACATACTGAGCCCCTCTCTGAACCCCCAAAGCAGCCCCAGGCGCAGAGCAAGAGGATCTCACCCCCCCCCCGACCTGGTCACCTCTGCCCCTGACAAAACCCACTGCAGGCCCCCCGGGGAATGCAGCTCTGGGCAGGTATGGGGGTAGCGAGAGCCCCGCAGCACACGGCTGCGCTTGGCTCTGGGAGGGGGCTGCTGGGGTCACCTCATGCCACAGCCACGGGACACAGCATCCCCGGCCTCTCCCTCAAAATGGGCCAAAAAAAAGCAAATTAAAATCAACTGCCTTCCCCCCACGTTGCTTTCGCAGCACCCCTCGCTCCAGGGGTGCGCTGCGGGGTGCCCGGAGGAGAGCACAGGACGGCGCTGCCTAGGAGAGGAGGGACGGTCAGCGTGGAAAGGCTCAGCTCTCCCCTGCGCCCCACAGCCGGGCAGCGGCCCCGCCAGCCTGCGCACGAAAACCGGGACAGTAAACGCAGTGGCTGGAGCAGCTACACGGGTGTCAGCTGCTCCCGAACACACCAGCACTTTGTACACGGGTGTTTTGGACTCTGGCTATTTCGACGCCTCACGCTGCCTGTGTACATGCAGCACCTGCACCCGCTACTGCCCATACGTTATCTATAATGTCCCTATTCAGCTGGTACACGGGGATGCGCCTGGCCAGCGTTTAAGAGCCAACAATGCAAAACTGAAGAGAGATGTCACCTTGTTGGGGACCCTCCCTGAGCGTTGTGTCCTGGCAGGAAGGCTCAGTGTGCCATCCTCCTCCTCCTCCTGCAGCAGAGGACCACCGCTCCTGCAAACCCCGCTCTGCTCTCTGAGGCTGCCTGCTGCCAGGCTACAAACCTGAGCCCTTGCAGGCCTCAGTTTGCCCCCAGCAGTTAGCCCAAGTCACTGCCCCTGTGCTTAATAAAGAAGCAAACAAAAACCCCTCCCTCTCCCAAACTAGCTTAATTAGGAAATTAGCCTGTTAATGAATTACCAGAACTATAAAACTGCTATAAGCAACACTTGTAGAAAAGGAGTGAGATCTCAAAGGGAGTGTCTTTAGACGCTGAAGGTAAGCTGTACTTTTTAAGGTCTGTCCTCTTGGCATGTACTTTTTATTCTCCTAGTATTTCTCACATACTAATTTTTTTAAATTACCTTTAAGGAAGAAGTATTTTAGTCTCTTAAAGAAGACTTTCATTCTAGAATGACCATTCAGCTCCCCTTTGCAGTAAATTCAGGAGCTTTTTATCTCTAATGTTTTCAGTGTAAAAAAATGGTTTCGGGCCAGGGTAGCTACCTCCCCATTCCCTTTGGGGTGTCTGGAAGGCAGCGCCTGGCTGAGCAGGGGGTGAGCCCTTCCCTCCCATGCAGAGTGGGGGCATGAAGGAAGCTCCTGCCCACCCAGCAGAAGGCAGGGGTGTGCAGCATGAGACCTGCCAAGAGAACCTGTCCCCCAGGACCTCCCTTGGTGCTGTGTGGGCCGTGGGACCCCACGGGTCTGCGGGTGGGGCTTTATCCCACCATGTGTGAGACAAAAGGTAAGGTGAGAGCTGCTCTTCAACCTCTCCATCCTAACCAGAGCCCAGTTTTTCTGTCCCCACCTCAAAGGGACTCAATTCTAACTGGGATTAAGAGCCCTCTGACTTGAGGAATGAGGATGAAATATCTTATCTCTGGGGAAAAAACCTGCTCTATCTTAGTACCATGAACAGATGGAGAGGTTTACTGAGACTCTCTACAGTCTGTACAAAGCTAAAAGCAGTGGTATACAGGTTGAGGCTGAATAAATACAACTCTAGGGACACTCCATGATGACCTGTGAGCAGTAAACAGGTTGTGGTGCTCAAGAAGACAATGACAGGCTGGATGCTCACCTACATGTCCTGGCTCCTGCTCAGTTCTTAAGTTCAGCTCTCCTAAGCAAGACTGAAAACGGGATTTTGCAGAGAGCAGTCTTTCTACTCTAAGTCTGCAATTTGCTAGTGAACAGTAATTAATACATTTATTCTATCAGGGACATCCTGGTCTCCATAAGCCTGACTGTGGTGGGATTCTGCAACATGATGTCCACCAAGAGGCACAGTACCAGCATCCTGACCATAAGGGAAATCCTGGACAATACCAGTGCATCCAAACCAGATGCCTGGGAGCTTCTTACAGACTTGGACAATGCCACAAAAGGCAGTTCCCTGTGTGTTGTCAAGCAGTTAGAGTCTCCGAGCAGCCGTGTGAAAACTGACCTGCACAGCCTGACCCAGGGCACCTCTGACCTCAGCCTTGTCTGCTTCTGCAAGACCCACGATGGTCAGGCTGTCCTTGACCTGTCCGGTTTGCCTTGTGAGCACCTCAGCAGAGCCGACTGCCTGATGGCATCGCAGAACACCTCAACGCCATGCAAGAAAGAAAAGCACCCCAAACTGCTGGAGAGCTTGCTCTCCAAGAGCGGCGAGCTTGCTGGCGACCTCTCAACCCTTGGGAAGACACCACCACCCAGATGGGAGATCTCAGCAATAAAAGGCCCCCTGGATACCACCCTGTCCTTTGATTTGAGCACCGAGGAACTGAGGTTATTGGGATGCTCCAAACTGGACATGTCATCCCTGGAGACCTCTGTAGTAATTCCTCTCGCTTGGCCTGGAGCCATCAAGAGTCACCCTACACTGACCCACAGTTCTGCCACCCCCGAGACCCAGCCGAGCGATCGTGACCCTTTCCCCGTGTTTCTGCCTCAGGCTTTGTGATGGTGCTGCCCCAGCTCCCAGCCGGGGGGTGCAGAGCTGCCGTCCAGGCTGCAGCCCAGGGACGAAGCCCCCCCCCCCCCCCCGCCGTGCCCCGCCCGGGGCTGCCTTGCTGATGGCACCGCCGGGGGGTTGGTTTTATCTTCCAGCCGTGGGTGCCTGGAACGGCACCTCTGCTCGGGATGCTGCTGGCTGGAGGGAGCTTAGGCTGTTGATGGCAGCCCCCAAAAACTAGCAGCAGCCCTCCTGGCCTCCACCACCCCCCCCCCCCCCATCGCTGTCTTTTGTATTAATGCAATAAAGATAGAAATTTCACTGTGTGGGCGGTCTCCGCTCCTTTCTGCCCGCCGGAGCTCCGCCGAACACGGGCCGGCCGGGGCCCGTCTGCCGGTACGACCCCAACCGAGAACAGCCCCTTCCTCACCCGCGAGAGAGGCCCCCGCCGTGGGGCCGCCGCGGCCCGCGAGACGGGGCCGCCTCCGCCCGCCGCGCCCGGCTGGAGCGGGGCGAGACGCCGCCACAAGATGGCCGAGGCCCCGCAGCAACGCCCGGCCCGGGGCCGGTGCCAAGGTGCGCGGCCCGGGGCCGCCCCGCCCGCCCCCGTTACCTGGCAGAGGGGCCCGGGGAGGTCTCGGGGACGAAGGGGCGCCGGAGCGCGGCTCGGGGCCCCGCCGCCGGGCCATGGCGGGCAGCCGGGGCCCGCCGCTGCCCGCGGGGAGCGCGGCCCGGGAGGCGCCGCCGGAGCTGGGGATCCCTCTTCTGGCACGCCGGGAGAAAAACACGCTGGGAGCGGCGGGCCGGGGCCGGCGGCGGCTCCGCGGGCGCGGGCCGCCCAGCCCCCCGTGCCACCCGCCCGCCGTTACTCCTGGGCAGGGTTTTAACCCTCGGCCCGGCTGGAGGGGCTCAGCACAGAGCCGCGGGGGCAGGTGACTTCCACACCCGGGGCCGAGGGAAAGAGACGAGCCCACCCCCTGCGCGGCCCAGGTTTGCCTGCTCTGCTGTAGGGCTTCCCCCTTACACACACACTTGCTCCTTTTCCTTTTTTTTTTTTTTTTTTTTTTTTTTCCTCCTCTCCCCCCATTGCTGCTGACAGCAGAAGGGAAGACATGGAGAAATCCTTGTTAAAACTTGCTTTCCAGGGCATTTACAGTTTGCTGAAAAGCCAATGTACAACCCCCCCTTCTTTTAGGGACAGATTACGGGATGAGAAGTCATGTTGCTTGAGAGAAAAGGGAAAGCAGCAATAGTTGCTTGGAACAAATTTATGTGAATTACATCAATAATTTAATTAATACATAAACTCCGTGGCTAGCTGTGCTTCCCTTTTGGAAAACCCTCACCCACTTGTAGTCCTTGTGCCAGTCAGCCACAAACTCTGTGTACCATACTCCCATGGCCAAAACAGGCACTTCGGTTTACAAGGCAACAGTTTAAATACTTTGAGAGTGCCAAAAGGACAACTTTGAGAGATGCAAACTATTGCCTCCACATACGTTTCACACTAGCACTTCTGGCCAAAAAAACATCAATTCAGTGATAAAAATAAGCTCTTTTACTTCACCTCTCAGAGTAGCACTACAGACAAACAGTAAACAGGGAGCTGCCTGTGTTCTCTCACTGCTCAGATGACTTTTTTCTAAACTATGTTACATCAGGAACAGGTGACAAAATAACTCAGAAAAAGGGCCTAGAAGGAGAATGTATTTACAGTTTGAAGTATAAACACCACAGAACGGTACAGACTGGATCTATCATTAGGAAGAGGATCACACAGTTGTTTGGTCCAACTGCGGTCTGTGCCGGTTGACTGATTGGTATTGATACTGCAGAAGAAAGATTAAGCTTGTTGTGTAAATCCGTAGCTGGAACATACAAAGTACTCTGTGTGACAAACACAAGCATACCCTTAAACTAAAGGGAAATAAATTAAAAATTTAAAACACGCTCCTATGAAAAAGGAATGTCTGCAGTGTAAGAGGAGACACACCACTCCTGCTAACATGCTAGCGTATCACACCGGGGCAGAAACTTAGCAGGGGCTTTCGGGCACCTCCTTTAGAAAAGCCTGCACCAAGCTGGCAAGTGAAACATGAAGCAGTGTAAAATGAAAAGATTTTTTGTGGGATAAAAGATGAACAGATCTTTTGCAAAGAGCAGCTTTGACATTAAAAACCATGGCAGAGCAAGATAAAGCACAGGTGTCACAAAGGCTGCAGAGACGGCTGGAGTCGGGGAAGAGTTTTAAGTTTCACAGTTTGGGTGTGAGATTAACTACAAAATTTTCTGGATGTCAAAGTGCAATCTCAGTGTTGATGTTAAAAAAGGTCCTTGAAACACAGACATGCAGTGTTAGTGTTGACAAATCTTTTCTTCTCACCACTCACAGCCTTGGCTGTATTTTTGCTGTGTATTGAGCTTCAACATTTCATGGTCAATGAATTCCACTTGAATTTCCATTCTTGTTGATTACCTAGGCTCACTATCTCTGGGAATGGGCTAGATATCAAATAGCTGTAAGTAAAAATATTCCTGAGTTTCTGCACAGCATCACATTATCTTAATAATGATCCATTAAATCTTACAAGTCTTTTTCATCCAAATGCTGTCCCTTCTTTTCAAAATGATGTATTTCCAGTCTTATACGAGGCAGCGATCTGCAACAACATCATTATTGCTCAATTTCCATTCTTCCCCTCCCTTGGAAGAAATGTGTTCCTTCTGCAGTAACAAACCCACCTCTCCTTGGTTCACTTTGGCAGAGAGACAAAAGGAGACTGCCTCAGGGTGACAGAATAGCATATTTTCAGCAGCTCCTGTATTTATGGCTGTATTTTCCAGTTCACAAACCAAAATAATAATCTTTCCCACAGTAATTAAGGACTACATGCACACTGGGATAACCCACAATAAGCCTTAATACAAGAAAATAAATACTGGAGCCAGAAAGAAGGACTAAACCCACATTTTCTTAGTATAAGAACTTTTTCATATATTACAAAATTACAGTTTCAATAAAGTAGAAAAATAGGGAATTATTTGGAAAGAGCTTGCAAATTCAAGCACTTCTTCAAAAGGCATTATTTATATAAACTACTACACATAAAGGATCCAAACATTCAGTGAACTACTGAGATGGTCCCAATCATTATACTGAACACAGCAGTTGAAAAAAATGGAAAAGTATGTTTTCACTAAAAGGTCAATCTCAAACTGGGGAAAGCCAGGTCTCAGTTACCATTCTGGAATCCAGCTTCACTTGTGTCAGTATCATGTTCCTTAGGTAAGAGAAAAGGAGAAAGGGGGGGGAGAAAAAAAAATAATTGAATTTAATTTTAATGATAGAGTAGAACTGTCAGGTATTTGCCTCAACTATACTATTTGAGAAATAGGGAATACTTGTTAGCAGAAACAGCTGATCTTCCAATACGTTCCAAACAGACTTTGAAGCACCAAATTTACTACAATGAATTATTTCAACAGAGTACTGCTTGTGAGTAACAATGCTGGTTTCACATCTACATTGCAGCATTAGCAAGCACTGTGAACATTCCTGAGGGCACACTGCTGTTACACAGTGCACCATTAATGAACTGTATTTAGCTGAAATTACTGAAACTACACTTTTATATATTAATCCCCAGTCCTGGTTTCAGCTGGGATAGAGCTAATTTTCCTTCTTAGTAGCTAGAATAGTGATGTGTTCTGGATTCAGCGTGGGATTTGGTATGAGAAGAATGCTGATAATGCACTGATGTTTTTAGCTGTCGCTAAGAAATCAAGGACTTTTCAACTTCCCATGTCCTGCCAGTCTGTACAGGTACACAACAAGCTGGAGGCAGCACAGCCAGGGCAACGGACCCAAACTGACCAGTGGAATATTCCATATCATACAACGTCATGCTCAGTATATAGGTGAGGGTTGGCTGGGAAGCTGCTTTCTCTCTTCTAGGATTGCGATTTTGGGATTTTCTCTCCTCTGGGATCACTGCCTGGGAACAGGCTGGGCATTAGTTGGCGGGTGGTGAGTAATCATACTGTGTGTTACTCATTCGTATATTCTATTATTACTATCATTATTGTCATTATTTTTAAAATTTATTTCAATTATTACATTGTTTTTATCTCCACCTATGAGTCTCCTTACCTCTACCCCTCCAATTCTCTCCCCCATCCCCTGAGGTGAGGAGGGTGAGCGAGCAGTTGCACAGTGTCTGGCTGCCAGCTGGGTTTAAACCACATCCCCCAATCAAAATAACAGAGACTTAATATATTGAGTACTACACATTCTATACAGATTAATAGTCCTAAGTATTCTGGATCACACTTCACTGGTCTAATTTATTACACAAGAAATGTCTTAACACATCACTGTACCTCTTGCCTGTGACAAGTGTAGCTGCTACAAAGATACCTCAGCCTCAGTGCTGATACTACCAATTACTCACTTGTAATTCTGTTATTAAAAATACCTGATTCAGTTTCTTAAACTCAACTACTTGGAAGAAGATGTGCTCCAGGATATGTTTGGCATCTTGTTTCTCCTTTGGGAGTTTACTTGTTACTCCTAGGATATCGCCACATTTTCGTACATAAAACTCCAGGTCATCATCAGTACCTAAACAAGCATTCCAAGGAAGAAGGCAGTTGAGTATCACACATGTCCGTATCGGCCGGGCAAAAATTTACTATGGATCTCCGCTCATTGTCAGCATTCTGGGAGGTTAAGTCCTACAACTAAGTGCAGTGGACTAGCCACATTGTATTCTTGCAGCTAGTACTTTCTCATCATTTTTAGATTTAAGGTATGTTTAGAATAACCTTAACATTTTAACTTCAAAGCATAGAAAGATGTGAAATAAATCAGCAAGAGTGTGAAAAGCAACGTATGCCTGATACAGGAAAGAACATGCAGAAACGTAATAAAATGTCATGTAACAAACAAAATAAAATGTCATGGTACATGAAGTCGTGTTATCAATTTCCAAGGCCTTCCAATTTCTTAGCCCAGAATGAAAGCAACAGATTTTCAAAAACAAGGTGCATGTTTTAAAATTAAATATAACAACAATTTTCCTTCAGAAACTTGGACTTTATATATAAATGTGTAAATAATCAGCCTGCTCCACTTACATTTGTTTGTGATCTCTGCAAGACGAGCTTTCTCAGAGGAAAAAGTTTCATCCAAATCAAACAGCTCCAGAGGGGGAGGAGGCAATTCTCTGAAAGCAGGTGGAAAAACCTTGAAGAGAAGAATTAGCATGGTGTATTGCCACATATTCTTCTTATACTTTACAGATCTATAAGATAACAGAGCCTAGAGTATTAGCAAGGAGATTACTCACAGCTGGCTGGAGGACAGGTAGTGGAGTCTCAAACTGAGGCTGAATGAGTTGGAGGGGTTCATGTTTCACATTCAGCTGTTCATAAGCTCTGCAGCACAAAAAAAGGCAAAGTATGAGAGAAGAAATGATACAACATCCATTTCCACTCTCAAGCTATAGACATGAATGTTTATGAAGACACCAGGGTCAACATTATGCACAGTCACAGCGTAAGAAAAATGGAATGTCTAATTTTAGAAGGACCCCAGAGAACTATGTATCAGTAATAACTGACTTCTACAGCAAGCAAATTAGTTAAAATTATGACAGAGAAGAAGATAATGATAGGTGGATATATAAGATGATAAAAAAGAAGGAAGTCACACCTCAGTTCTTCACACAACTTTTAACGGGATGAAGGTGCATGAGGAAAAAGTGATCCAGTTCAAAGAGAGCAGACTACGGACTTCAGAAAGGTTTTTCAGGAAGTCCATAACCAAAAGCTATTCAAAAAAATTGTTTGTTATGGGATCAGAAGGGAGATCCCACTGTGAATTCACATCTAGTAAAAATACAAGGAATACAGAGTAAGAAGTGTCCACAACAGAGTGGAGTTTTATGGAATCTGCATTAAGCCTGCTACTATTCAACATGTTTGTAATTGATCTGCGTAACAGATGAGTTGTGAGGGACAAAGCCACCAGCGACACAAAACTGGTAAAACTGAGCAGCAGATAAACCTCAAGACACAATTACTGGGAAATACAAAGATGAACGAAATGCAGCTTCAGTAAATGCCAAGTAATTCAAAAGTGGATAAAACAACCAGCTCTCAGTTACCACTCTAGAAAGTACCCAACATCACTGCGGAGAGTTCTACTAAAAATATCAGTTCACTGAATGAGCAGGAGTCAGGAAAAAGGAAAAAACAATGTCAGAAAGCACAGTGAAGACAGGAAGCAAGAGAAAACATCACTGACACACTGTACAAATCAATCTTCTTGTATATCCCTATTCAGAATGATGCCTACAGCTCCGTCTCTTCTGCTTTTAAACACACACAGTTAAGCACAAACAGAAAATGCAGAATACAGAACGGTAAAAAGAAATAAATAAATGACAGCTGCTGACTTGATAACTGCAGGGAGGACAGTTGTATCCAGCTGATAAAGGGATGTATCAAACAGCTTTGTGAAGTCTCTTGGGTTCTCATCTCCTTCTTGCAGACAGACTCGCAGTTGCTCAGACAGCGCAGCTGTATCTGGGAGCATGGTATAGTCTGAAATCTGAACAACACACCGATACACACACCTATGATTTAAAAAGACCAACCCATTTACATTGCCTCTTTCCAGTTTGTATCTCACCTAAAAGCTCATCTAGAAATAATTATTTCACTCTTTACCAGATATGACACTTTGCAGTGCAGCTTACTAGATCAGTAAACTGTGCAAACTCTATTTTCTTAGATGTAAAGTCACTCACCACATGGACTTTGTATCTGGAATTCTGTTAATTCTTTAAAATTAAAAGAGACAGCTTACTAGTCAACTCTGCAAGACTGTTGTTCTTCTTATGCATACAGAGTATACAATTTTATCATATCTGGTACTTCCAAATAAAAATAGCATTTGCCTACGTCAAACAACTAAAATTGATACACAGGTTGATCCCTGCTCATATACAGAAAATCTGTCTTCACTTCCTGCGCGTTCCTCTTGTCTGAGGGCACAGAGAGAAGTGCAGACTTACTACACTGGAGCAGCAAACGATCTCGTAAACATGGGCAAACTGGAGTGAGACTTTCACAAGTGAAATCTGAAAACGAATAGCAATCTAAGTCTGAGAAATACAATACCATTATTTTTTATGGCTAGTCCATCTGTCTACTCAATCTTAGACTCTGAATAAAGGGTCTGCAACAACAGCAGCATTCATCTAGCTGTTAACCATTTTGTGCTAAATACATGGTTTGCCAAAACTGCTGCTCCTAGGCCACACTGTTATTTACCTCCTTGTGATGGATCTCTTACCTCAGGGTCCTCCATATCCATCTGGTTTAAATGGATATCTGATGTTGTGAGCCACTGGAAAAGCACATCCTGGAGAAAGACAAAATTAATTTCTGGAGGGTCTAAGTAATCTTACATTATGCTTAAATATTCATATTAGATCTATTAAATAACATACCATGAAAAAGAAGATAAATATGGGTAATAAATCAAAGAATATCTAGGGATAAAATACAAACTTGACTTATATTTACATATGGAAGCAATGAGTCATGGCAATGAGCATACTTTGTATGAGGTACATACTTTCAGGAACACCTCAGGAGGAAACTCCTCTTCCTACACATAACAATGTTACATACGCCACTTTGGAAAGTGCAAGTGCATTGCAATCTCCACACATCAGGAGCTTTATATGCAAAGGTTTATTATTAATCAGGAGTCATAACTGAGCACTAAAGAAGCTAAGAAAAAGTAGTAAACAAAAAAAAAACCCAAGTTAATATTTAAATATTAATAACAATAGTAGTGAAGAGAAGTAGGAAAAACTTTTCAGAGTCCTATAGCTTAAATAATAAACTATATCTTTAAAAACTCCTGTTAGCTATGTTCTAACAAACTTCTCAGGATGTTAGTACTGAGTTAGAATCTCCATACTGAATCCATTTCATAGTTGCCTTGCTCTAAGATGAAGCTAGTGAGCTTGGATTGCTTTGTAAGTGCTGTGAAGATTCACTGTGTTGTTTTTTTTTAAAACAAACAAACAAACAAACAAAAATAACAACAAAAATCACACTTGCCATGATTTTACTGTTTTCTTCTTTATCTAAATACTGGTCACTGAACATGTGGGAAGATCCCAGCGCTGCCATCTTTCCACCTGGACTCTATCAACAAAGAACACAGTATATCAAAAAATCGCTCCAAATCTCAGTTTTAGAGGCAATTGTTAATGCTGTCTAATTACAAAGTGATTTAAAGAAATAGGAAATTTTGGTGTAAATAGTGGCAAAAACAGTTTCTTGTGAGCTTTGCAAGCTCACAAGAGCGCAGCAGCATTGTAAGTGTATATGCTCTTAAGGCTCATAAATTTATTAAGAATACTGATCTGCATTTCATAAGAGTAGACAGACAACTGGCTGGCAACCAAAGAAATAACAGAGAATATCATAAATAGCTGCACTTAGGTCATTTTTTCAGAAAAAAACAGCACTTTTTTCAATCAAATAAAAAAGAATTAAGTGAAATGAATTCATTATTAACTTTCTGCAACCCATTCCTCAGTGTTCAGAATGTAAACCTAGAGGCTAGTGACATGCATGCATGTCGATATAACACATATTCATGTCGGCTAATGAGAGAAGAGTTTGGTAATTTTATTATTTGCAGGATAAAATGCAAAATACACAGGTCAATATATTTTAATTTAGCTAAATTAAACATGCATGAAAATGCATTAGCGAAACATCTTTGAAATTCTTATATGGGATCAACCCTTAATCCTTCCACAAGGACATATATAAGAAATAGTAAGTTTTCAACAAAACAAGAAACCCAGTAATGCTCCCCACACCAACTGTGAAACTCCCAGCATCATAATGTCATGAATGTTGCTGTAACAAATTTGACCATACATCAAACAAAGCTCCAGTTTGTTTAACAACTTTCTCATGTTTCATACTCCATGTTTTGCAAGGTTTTAACCTGAATTCTACATGCTTCACCCACAACAGCTAACTGGGTAGCATACCCTGCTCTTACTTCCCATTCCTTCACTTTCTATTGTTATTCTTTACCATATGTCTTTTTCACTCCAAGAGATCTTGTTTTCCTTCTACCAAGTTTCTCTGCTCTGCTTGAGAGACAACTTCTGTCTCTGGCTCCATCTTCTACCCTTGTGTCTATAACTTCCTTGAGCCAGATAGGAAAAATTATGCCATCTATTTGACATTCATGTCAGAGTATTATATCAAAGAGCTATCAGTTCCATGTCAGAGAAGGGGAAGGACATTTTTGGCCATGGGCTTGCCAAGGTGGTGAAGTGGGCTTTAAACTAAAGTTGCCAGGGGGAGGGGAACCTCAATCCATCCCACTCCTACCAGTTTGATGCCAGCGCCAGCGATAGATGCCCAGAGCCTGGAGAGGAGTCACAGGGCAGCAGAAAACCACCTGAAGAGTAGCACAAAGGAATTCCAGGCACTCCAGCCAGTAAGTCACCTTCATCTGGGCCCAACTTAAATGCCTCTGTGCAAACTCACGTAGCAGGGGACTAAACACGAGGAGTTGGAGACGTGCACACGCCTGCAGGGCCACGACCTTATTGGCATCACGGAGCGGTGGGATGGCTCCTGTGACTGGAGGGTTGGGATGGAAGGGTACAGGCTCTTTAGGAAGGACAGGCAGGGGAGACAAGGTGTGGGGGGGTCACCCTCTGTGTCAGTGACCAGCTGGAGTGCAGGGAGCTCTGCCTGGGGATGGGCGAGGAGCCGACCGAGAGCTCACGGGTCAGGATTAAAGGGAGGGCAGGGACTATTGACATTATAGTGGGGGTCTGCTACAGCCCACCCCATCAGGAAGACTGAATGGATGAAGCCCTCTGTAGGAGCAGCCTCACGTTCACAAGTCCTGGTGCTCACGGGGGACTTCAACCACCCTGATATCTGTTGGAGGGACAGAACAACAGGGCACAAGCAATCCAGGAGGTTCCGAGAATGCGCTGATGATAACTTCCTTCTCCAAGTGATAGAGAAGCCAGTGAGGAGAGGTGCTATGCTGGACCTTGTTCTCACCAAGGCTGGTGGGGAATGTGAAGCTCAAGGGCAGCCCTGGTTGCAGTGACCACGAGATGGGGGAGTTCAAGATCCCTAGGGCAGGGAGGAGAGTGCACAGCAAGGTCGCTACCCTGGACTTCAGGAGAGCAGAAATTGGCCTCTTCAGGGATCTGCTTGGCAGAGGACCATGGGATAAAGCCCTGGAGGGAAGAGGGACCCAAGAAAGCGTGTTAATATTTAAGGGTCACCTCCTCCAAGCTCAGGAGTGATGCATCCCAACATAGAGGAAGTCAGGCAAAAATGCCAGGAGGCCTGCAGGGATGATCAAGGAGCTCCTAGAGAAGCTCAAACACAAAAAGGAAGTCTACAAAGGATGGAAGCAAGGACAGGTCACCTGGGAGAAATACAGAGTAATTGTCTGAGCAGTCAGGGATCAGGTTAGGAAGGCCAAAGCCCTGATAGAATTAAATCAGGCCAGGGATGTCAAGGGCAACAAGTAGAGCTTTTATAGGCACATCAGTGATAAAAGGAAGACTAGGAAAAATGTGGGCCCTCTATGGAAGGAAACAGGAGTGCAGGTTACCCAGGATATGGAGAAGGCTTGAGATACTCAATGACATTTTTGCCTCAGTCTTCACCGGCAAGTGCTCCAGCCACACTGCTCAAATCACAGAAGACAAAGGCAGGGACTGGGGGGAATGAAGAACCACCCACTGTAGGAGAAGATCAGGTTCGAGACCATCTAAGGAACCTGAAGGTGCACAAGTCCATGGGACCTGATAAGATGGCTAAGCCACTATCCATCACACATGAGAAGTCACGGCAATCCAGTGAAGTTCCCACTGACTGGAAAAGGGGAAACAGAACCCCATTTTTAAAAAGAAGACCTGAGGATCTATGGGCCAGTCAGTCTCACCTCTGTGCCCAGCAACATCATGGAGCAGATCCTCCTGGAAATTGTGCTAGAGCACATGGAAAATAAGGAGGTGACTGGTGACAGACAACATGGCTTCACTAAGGGTAAATTGTGCCTGACAAATTTGGTGGCCTTCCATGATTGGGTTACAGCACTGGTGGGTAAGGGAAGAGCAACTGACATCATCTACCTGGATTTGGGCAAAGCACCTGACACTGTCCCGCATGACATCCTTGTCTCTAAATTGGAGAGACATGGATTTGACAGATGGACCACTCAGTGGATAAGGAATTGGCTGGATGGTCACACTCTAAGAGTTGTGCTCCATGTCCAAGTGGAGAGCAGTGACGAGTGGCATTTCTCAGGGGTCAGTGTTGGGCCTGGCTCTGTTTAACATCTTTGGTGACAGGGACAGTGGGATCGAGTGCACCCTCAGCAAGTTCACCCGTGACACCGAGCTGTGTGGTGCAGGGACACACTGGGGGCAGGGATGGCATCCAGAGGGGCCTGGGCAGGCTGGAGAGGTGGGGCTGTGCAAACCTCATGGAGTTCAACAAGGCCAAGTGCAAGGTCCTGCACAGGGGTCAGGGCAATCCCAGGCACAAACCCAGGCTGGGTGAGGAGGGGCTGGAGAGCAGCCCTGAGGAGAAGGACTTGGGGGTGTTGGTGGGGGGAAAACTGACTGAGCCAGCACTGTGCGCTCGCAGCCCAGAAAGCCACCCGTGCCCTGGGCTGTATCCAGAGCAGGGTGAGCAGCAGGTTGAGGAAAGGGATTCTCCCCTTCTACTCCACTCTGGTGAGACCCCCCTGCAGTGCCGGGTCCAGCTCTGGGGGCCCCAACATCAGAAGGACATGGACCTGCTCAAGCAAGTCCAGGGGAGGCCACGAAGAAGCTCAAGGGGCTGGAGCACCTCAACCTGTCCCCAGGCTGAGAGAGTTGGGGGTGTTCAGTCTGAAGAAGAGAAGGCTCCAGGGAGACCTTATAGTGGCCTTCCAGTGCTTAAAGGGGGCTACAGGAAAGGTGGGGAGGGACTCTGTCAAGAGGTAGGTTTACATTAAAGAAGAAATTCTTTACTGTGATGATGGTGAGACACTGGCACAGGTTGTTCTTAGAGGTTGTGGCTGCCCCCTTCCTGGAAGGGTTCAAGGCCAGGTTAGACGGGGCTTTGAGCAACTTGGTTTAGTGGAAGGTGTCCTTGCCCATGGCAGGGGGTTGGAACTAGGTGATCTTTAAGGTCCTTTCCAACTCAAACCATGCTATGATGCTGTGTAATGGTTTCCACTGCACAAACCTATTACACTTCAGTGATCAACCCATCCAAAACACTCCCCAGAGGTACAAGTTATATGGGCTTCACTTACAGCATAATTTAGTTGTTATAGTTCTTAGAAGAAAACACTCTTCTCCATACTGATTAGGTGAAGCATGAGACACCACATAAACAGGCACAATCTTGAAACCTAAATGCCAACCAGCAATGCTATAAACCCAGCAGAGTTAGGGCTTTATATAACTTAGATGACTTATGTCACAAAAAGACAACTCTATCATTAATGTAAATAATTTCAGTATTATCATGGGTGCAAAATTAGGTGAGTCTATAGGTGCACTGGATCTATGTGCAAATACTTTGTGTAGTGGAGGGATTTTATTGTATCTTACTCTGACAGATGCAGATAAAATGTGAACAGTAAGTGTACTTGTAAGTTCACTTCATGCTGCTGTACTGTCTTTGATTTACGGAGTTTATTTCAGCCAAAACATGGAGAGATGAAGTTGGGCATCCTCAGAAAAAAAAAAAACACCTTCCTAATAAAGATATCAAAAAAACACAATAGTGTTAGAAACTCATCTACATCGTAAAAAAGTGTGTTAATGTGTTTACGTTCATGAACAAAATTAATCCTTTGTTTGTACCCATCAACTACTACTAGATTTCTGAAATTTTTTTTATAAATTAACAGAGCTGAATGGGTAAGATAGCATATAAAAAAAATCTACTGGTTCCAAGGTGACAGTCCTCTTCCTTAATTCAGCAGGGCATATTTATGAAACTAACAATAATCTTACTTACAAAATAATTACTAAAACAGTGGGAAAACCCTCAAAATTTAAAGAACTATAAATATCCATCTGTCGGCCAAACAAATATATAATCATTGCTGACCATCAAATTAATTCTTCTCTGAACCCCATGCAAAGACGTTTTCCATCAAAGGAAGAAGGACTTACCAGGCTCATCTGGAGTTTGCAGATGCACCAAAAAATAGAAGTGGGTTTATAAGTACTCCCAGAAAATACACTCAGAATTTTTGTGGGGGGTGGGCAGAGAATGCATGGTTTGTTACATGCAGAATCATACCTCATGCTGATAGAAAGCAAGAATAGGCCTGTTGAGTGGGAAGCAAACAGATCCTGTCGACAGAATAGCCACTGCTGGTTTCATCACATTCAGTGTGGCACCAAATGGATACACGAAAGTGAGAGCTCTGCAGGGAATACAGGAACCCCATAAGTACCTGCATGTATGGGGTAGGTTGGATATACTTATAAAACTAAGTCTGTCTGCCTAAACTGCAGACTGTAATTGTGCACTGGTGGTGGAATGCCAAGAGGCGTACTTTCAAACATTCGGGTCATTACAACATTTCAGTCTCTTTCTACAGGTTTTTCCAGGTTGATGATTTGTCTTAAACAAGGAACAAAGAACACTCTGGATCCCTATTTGCACACTGCTATATCTGAGAGAAGGGTAGTGGTATTTTACTCACAGATGTATATATTCTGGAATAAGACTACATAAAATGTTTTTACACTTATATATTTCCTTGTAATCAACTGTGTGATCATTAGTCAAAAAAATAGCTGCAAGGAAGAATATATTCAGAGTTATTTACAGAAAAGCTGTACTCTTCTCAATGCCTTTTCACTCCTCTGCAGCATAGAGGGATGGAGAGCTAAAAATTGCAATAGATGTCTTTTACACTGGATTAAGACTCTTTAAAAGGATGTAGGGTTGCTCATGCCTGCAGCCAGACTACCCGCTATCTAGAGGTTATTCATATGTACATTGTTTAATCAAATGCAAATCCACAGACTAGGGGCAAAAATTATCTGGTCAGGAGAGAGTACTAATTCCATTCAAAACCTATCACTCCTGTTCCTTATTGGTTATCAGACACTACTAAACAGATTCTCCTTTCCAGATATAACCTTGAAGAACAAGAAGCTGACATAAGAAATACGTTAGAAAACCTCAAGACAAGCACAATATACTCCTGCTAGATTACAAACCTGCTAATTCTAAATTATTCTAAATATTTTCACATCAGCTTCCTTAAAGAGAAACACTTACTGTGAGTCATGTCCACTTCCATCTTCATCTGTTGTCTCAAGCACTGTTTTTCTTGCAGCTTCACTGATTCCCCTACAAGACGTTGAAAAGCAAAATTTACTGAAAACAACATGGATTATAAGAGTTTACTGTAAAGATTTATATACCCCAAATATTTACCTATTTAAGACTCCATCAGAGATTAATGCTTCTTTTGGGTGGTGGTACTTGTAATACACGTTTCGCACTACAGCATCTTGAAGAAAAGAAAAAAATAAAGAAATTTACATCTTAGCTGATCAGTGTACTAGATAGAGCAATGAAAAATGAGTTCAGCCCTTGCATTCCCTGACTGTTTGCTTCTAACACCACAAAGCTGGCATGTGGCCTCTGAAAGAGTTCAAGTCAGCCTTCACTACCATTTCCTTTTGGACACACATATTTAGAACAATAACGTATTTGCAAGTTCAAACAAAAATATGAAGAATAATCACATCTCCGTGTCTTCTGCAAAGCAGTTAAAAGAATGTGCATCAAGTTTTACAAGGTTTTTTTTGAATACATCTTCTAAAAGCATGATGAATTAAGTACTGTTGATGCAAAAAACCCCAGCATAGTCGAGAAATGCCACCAAAGACCCTAAAAATATTTTACGTACAGAGACATAGTTGTTTTGGTAGTTTTCTTTTTTTCCCCACATTAGCAGTACAAAACCTAATGAATGGCATTTTATTAGTCTGCTAAAGAAAAGTGCCACTGTTTATTGAGGATAAGTATGAAGTGATTCAGTCCATTAAAACACATGGAAAAATGTTTTAAATAAAAGGTTTTTTAACCAAGAAATGTCACTAGAATTAGTTTTTGTTACTAAATACCATTAAGGCTAACAATTACAGCAAAGGAATGGAGATAGCTAAGTTGTTGTCAAGGTACTCTGCCCATGAAAAGCCCTGAGTGTGCTTCAGCATTACACTGCCATGTACACGTAGATTTCAAGAAAAAACATCTCTTAGACCACAAGGTACTCTGTGAGAGGGATCTGCTTGGCTTGTATCTACAAAGGCTGAAGCTGAACTTTCGATTTTGCTGAAAACGGATGAATAAAAGATATCATTGAGCCCCATTACCATTATTGAAAACAATCCCATATTCTTCTAACAAAAAGTTAATATTTGTGCCATATCGGGACTCTCCGCCTTCTCTGAGCATCACCAGAATGGCTCCACCATCCTCCAAGAATTTCTTCAGAACTGAAAACTAGAAGACAATAAAGATCCAGGAAAAAAGACATGTAAAAGAAGCTACACACAAGACTGCAGGAAGTTATACTGAGATGAGGGAAGTATAAATGATTCTGACTACTTGCAATAAACTCAGTCCTACGAGAAAAGCATTCAAATTTCAATTTGTGTAAATTCATTTAAAACAGTACTACTGCAAAGTCTTCTGTGTTGTTCTTTTCTATTTTGTATTAAGGAAATCTTATAACTAATTTGCAAACAATTATTGCTTTCTTACCTCAGCAGCACTGAACTTTTCTCTTGGCCCTGCTGTAATCCACAATTTTACCCCAAAGAGTTTCTCAGATGTGATCTCATCTTTTAAGCTATGAATAGATTAATAGACACGTGTTATTTCTAAATATAGTCCTGTACCACAACTTTTTTTTTAAAAAAAAAAAAAAGGACTGGCAAATAAACACAAAGCAAATCACTTCAGTCACTTCACATCCTTTCATCTGGGTTTAAAGTTGACATCTCGAGCAAAAAAAATCTTTACAAATTTTAGCCCAATATACAGCAAAGCCCCTCTAACAAGGTACTGTGGCATATCCAGAACTGGTATAAACCATCACAGCTGCTACTAAACTTTGCAGATGATGAGCTTCCTCCTACACTTTTTTTTGTTTTCCTCTGGACACATTTTGTAGAGGACTGATAGGCAATATTATATGCACAAGGGCTAATTCCCTTTTTTTTTTTTTTTTTTCAAACTCCAAAATCAAGATAGACTCAAAAACTTGTATCAGGTGTTTTATCCTTATAACTTAAGCACGCTCTCTTCCATTGGTAAGACAGCCGGAAGCTCCAAAGACAACCATGCACAGCATCCAAAAGCTAAACGACAGCTCATGACACAGAGTGCCAGCAGTGCAGAAGGGGCCGCTCGGGTGTTCGGCGCAGGCCCCGCACCGCTCTCGGGGCCTCCCCGCCGGCCGCAGCCCCGCCGAGCCCCGGGGCTGGAGCGAGCCCCGCCCTCCCACCTCCGCAGAGACCCGCCGAGCTCCTCGGGCGCTGCCCCTCACCTCTGGATCTTCCAGTTCCCGCGAAGCCTCTTGCGCAGCGATTTGTAGCCGCTGCCGGGAGTGAAGCTCTCCCCTTTGGACGCGTTGAAGACTATGGCGTTCCGCAGGCCCCTCTCCATAGGGTTACCCGGGGCTGCCGCAGGACGCCAGCTCCCCGGAGGTGAAGCGACCCTCCAGCGCTCCCGCTCCGCGGCGGGACCGGGGGGTGTGTGGGTGTTCTGTGTGTCTATTGGGGGGGGGGGGGGGGGGGGGTCCCTCGTCTCCCCGCCGCGGCGGCGAGCGGGAACCGCGGCCGTTACCCCCTCGCGCTCCGCCCAGCAACGCGCCGGCCGCGGAGGCGCATGCGCAGAGGTCAGCTCCCCCGGTGGCGTGTGCCACTGCCGGGGCGGGTGGGGGGGGGGGAGGGGCGATACCATTGCGGCCGGCACGGCGGGGGGGGGACCCTGGGCCTTGCCCAGAGAAAAGCGGAACTCCCACTCCTTTGAGTAGTCTAAAGTAGCCACTTAACGTTAATTAAAAATATGGCATACAGCTACTCTCAGGTACAGCATAATGCCCACGCCCCTCTCCCTGCTCTCCTCCATCCCGCACTTCCATCCAATACAGGAGAAAGAAGCACATCAGTATATGCACTTTAATACAAACCATGTCATAATTCTGATGACTTAAGCATGTACAAGATAAAGTCTGATAAAAAAAAAATTGTTCTAGCACAAGCTTCTCAAGAGTGTGAGCATCACACCACTTCTACCCCCGTGTTGCAGTTAGCTCTTAGCCCCCTTTCTCCTCCTCACAGCAACAAAAGCACTTAAAAAAAAAAAAAAGTGGGAAGTGACATTCAATGAGTACACCAACCTTTAAATTAAGGCAGAATAAGCCACCGTTCCCTACCAGGGACAGGCATTTCTAGACTGGGGGCAGGAAAAGCAGTTGGGCAGAATTAGGCCAACCAAGAAAAAAAAGCAACCAGTTACAGGGACATGGCTGTTGATGTGAATGATGGTACATACCTCAACCATAAATACAACCACAGAGTGAATACAATTCTGCCAAGCAGCACAAGACACTCGGGGGGAAAAATCATAATAATCAGTGTTCCACTTTCCCTGCCAGGGGAACAGTCATTTAGAGGGAAATCCACCAAACAGCAAAAGTAGAGCTCTGTTCCAGCCAGTTAGTGTATTAGTCCCAATTTCCTTAAACCATGAGCAAAAGGACAGTATCAATCCTTTCAAAGAAGAAAAAAATACACCCACAAACATAAAACCCATTCAGTTAAAATCTGGCTTCTCAAAGCCTTTATAAAACCTAGATGTCCTCTTCAGTTGGTGCATAAGAAAATCCTAAAAATGCATCTGAGGCACTGGAGCTGCTGGCTGCTGGGTCAGGTGTGTGGGTGATGGAGGTGGAGATCGCTTCTTGGGTGAACTCTGGATCAAAGTGTCGCAGATCAGCTGGACCAGCCTAAGCCAAGGAGCAGACACACACATCGTCATTTTGAGCGCACAATCCCAAACCAACCACTTGTGTTGGGACAGTCTGACAAAGCTGGTCTTCCAAAAATTGACACCACTGCATTTGCAGCTCAGCCTGTACTTCAGCACCCTGAGTGTCCACATAAGACATCTGGAGGGAATTACTTTTGTCCCACTATATAACCAATACCAGAGATACCCACTTACCACATTGGGGTTAAATGGAGGAGTAATCCTCTTGTGGTACAAGTCATCCCAGTTTATTGGGCTGAAGAATACGTGGTTCTTTATCTCAAGCTGCATAGAAAGGAGGAGGGAAAAAGTCAGTCTTCTGCCAACCCTCTTTCCAGCACCTGACAGCTGGTTTCATAGTATTAAGTGGTTGAAGCAAGACTTGGAGCTATCACACATCCATGTAGAGGCCATGTAGCAAATCCCTTGAAGGGACATGACACCATCACAGACTGGTGCACTAACTTGCCACCACACCTTGAATCAGTGTCCCCTTTAGAAATCCAGGTCAACCCCATATGCCCCTTTTAGAGGGCTGGAGAGACATAAGCATGCATGGAAAGCTTTTTCCAAGGCAGTGCTGTTATGAAAAAAAGGCTCAGAATAGAAAGGTTTCCTATCCATCCTCCCTCCTGCTCCTAATGGAGGCAACCTACAAAGTCTGTCTTGGCACCCAGCCTCCTCTTCTGGTCCTTATGGAGAAGTCCCTGGAGAATGTCACAAGCTGCCACAGTCTTGCTTCCTTGGATCTGGAGTGGCTTGTGCAGAATGTTGTCATACATCTGAGACACATCCCGGCTGTAAAAAGGAGGCTAATTTGAAAGAGAGGAGAAGCAGCCAGGTAAAACAGGAGCTACCATGAGGAACCACACATACAGCTCAAAATAAGTCCTGCAGCAAGTAGATGAGGGAGACCTGCCATGCCTCATATCTGTGTTCAAAGGACAATGGTATGATTGAAACAGGTCATCTAATTCAGGATTTTGTTCTCTGTGTCAGATACCATTTGAACACCAGACCAACCTTACATCACAACTTTCAAAAATTCTTCACCACGTAGCATAAAACAGACAGCTTCCAAACTCACCAGTCCAAACAGCATCTCATAGAGAACGGCTCCCAGGCACCACCAGTCTACTGTCCTGTCATATGGCTGCTTCTTTAGCACCTCTGGTGCCAGGTACTGGGAAGAGTCAGAAGTAAATATTTGAGTCAAATTATAAAGCAAGGTCTTTGTCCTCATAAGTACACAAACTTAGCTGCAGTTCAAGCAGCGAAAATGCATTAGGAAGCACACAGATGCGTTTCCTACTCTGCTAGACTCTCTACTTGCTTCAGAGCAATGGGTTTGAAAGATGCCTAACTAAAACAGCCAAACTGTTTTTCTGGGCTACAGAAGGTTCTCTTCCCATAGAGGACTTGTACAAGGATTTGCCTCCCACCACAACTCAGACAAACCTGTCCTGCACTGACACATTACACCTCTAAGAAGCTTCTGTGGTTTTGAGAAAGCTGCAGTTTTCAGTCCCGGTAAGCCTGTCCAAAGCAGCAAAACTACTAACCACCACCACCACTGAGCAACAGGGAAGAATTCAAGTAGCCTGCAGAACAAGCAGCACATGAAGTTTGGTATTGTACAGGATTAACTGTGAACTATCAGGCTCCCCATCTAGGGCAAGAAAAAACTCAACAGGAAAAACACAGAACAAAGCTCAAACATTCCTGCTTGGTTCATGCTGTAGTATTGCATAATTGGGTCCCCACTGAAAGCTGAGGGCTACCACCAGGAAATTCCTGCCCACTTCTGCTGAGCTTGAATACTGAAAAGTATCTTGATTGCAGACCCACCTTCTAACAGTCTGAGGAAGTGCAACAGGACAAGTGTATTACCTAAAACAGAGCGCTACCCCAATCCCCAGCTCAGGAAGAAGCAGGAAAAAAGCCTACAGAAAGCAAAACTGGAGATAGGTTTTCACAAAACCTAGGTGAGGTACACTGGAGAAAAGGCATTTCCTCCCCTCTGAGCAACGTTCACATTCCAGAGGAGAGCCTGGTCCTCTCCTCTACACAGGGTGTTTTGCAGCTCCTGCATACCAAGGGCACACAGGAGAGCACAGACAGGTCCTGTGTGTGTCAGTACCAGCAGGCTCCCTGTTCTGCAGGCTCCAGGGTATCAGAGCAGGTAAACAGCCTGCTCACAGGCTCCCAGGGTCAAGGTTGTCTCCACAGCCACCTGGAGCAGCTCCAGTTTCACAAGACTGGTCGTTTCTAAGTGCAGGGATTCCTGCCCCTGGTAGCACAGCAAATTTAGACTGCTAATCAGCAGTTACAGGTAAAACAGTCCCTGCTGAGTAGAGGAGGCCTTATCTGAACTCCAGCTTGAGGCTGAAAACTTTAAAGAACCCAAGATGCTCTAATTCACAGAGCCCATATTTTGAGATGCTGAGCAGCCACACAAGTCTGAGACCCAGAGCAGCAAGTCCCTGAAGGCTTTCAGCCCCCAGGCCAGAGTGAAACCCCAGCACATGCTATACCTCAGGAGTGCCACAAAAAGTACAAGTTGTCTCCTCTTGCTCCATTCCTTCTTTGCAGAGTCCAAAGTCTGTCAATACTATGTGTCCCTAAAGAAGAGAGAGAGATTTCAGCTGAGCCCACACTTTCTAGAGATGAGGTGGCATTTCCAAGCACTGGCCTTCCCATAGCATCTCATGTATGTTTTAGTTCCCCACTGCTCATCTGCTTCCCCTCCCTGATTGTCTGGACATCCTACAGTACAAGTACAGAAATCTATAGAGAACGTCTAGTTTGTTGGGTTTCTTGTTTAATTTGTCTACAGCTACATAGCTATGAAGAGATCCAGAACCACTGCGCTTTGCTGCTGCTTTATCCCAGAGCCAGTTTATTATAGTGGCCACCACCAGAATAGCAGCAGTGACTTGCTTTTTGCACCCCTGATTCCTGCCCACAAGTCAGAGTCCCAGCACATGGGAACGGGCCTAGAGGGCCCCAAATGTACAGTTCTGCAGAGGACAAGCTCATCCCCTCTTGCAGGATCTGCACAGAAACAGTGGTGCATACATACAAAACCCATATGATGAAGTGAGCTATAGCCCAGCTTGCAGAACCATAGCCCTCTTTATGGTCACAATGCTTTTAAAGCCAGAAGGAAGGCAGAAGCAGCTGTGAATATACCTGGCAATCCAGGAGAATGTTCTCAGGTTTTAAGTCCCTGCAAGACAAAAAGTACTGTTTGAGCACATTTGACCAGATATTTAGGTAAGCCAGATCTGAAACAGTGTCATCTAAGAACAGGAGCTAACAAAACTTCCCAATCCAGTTCACCAAGGTCTTCTCAAAGTACATATTCCCACCACTATTGGGTATCGGCATGCACATGTGAAAACATAGAAAGACCACTGTTTTACAGGATTAGGTGTTAGCCTGTGTTTCTATGCATAAATGGTTACCAAGAGACAATTTCTTACTTATTGAGCCAGTTTTATTTTAGATGTTTACACTTAACCATCCTCTCTCCTTCCTACTCTCAGGCTGGGAGTATTTATTGTCTACCAGATCCCATCCAGACAGCACCCCTCTTGCAGGATAGAGTGCTGGCAGCACACTGTCTTGTCTGGAGTAGGAAATTCTTCAGCTAATTCCCATCCCGCATTTTGCAGGGCCCCAATGAAGCCCTTTTGCTCCCCAGCACTGCACACAGCCTGGCTGGGCAAACTTGGTACCCCTGCTCTGCCCAGCAGGACACAGGTCTTACCTGTAAATGATGTTTAAGGAATGCAGGTACCCAATAGCACTAGCAACTTCTGCAGCATAGAATCGGGCCCGGGGTTCACGGAAACAGCGCTCCCTTTGCAAGTGGAAGAAGAGCTACAGGCAGATGAGAGGGTTGATCATTTATTCTCTAAAATAGGATATCTGGACCAAGCCTGAAAGCCTGATTTGCAGCCAGTAGCACATGAACTGCACCAAATAAACCCAAACCAAGTGACTTTAAGCAATCTAAACACTCTTCTAGAAGTTGCTTCATCTGTCTTCCTCTTAGGTCACCATCTCACTTAAGAATTCATTCCTCAAAAAATGGTCATCTGCTGATCTAGTTACGCTCCCTACAACCTACAGGCCAATTATAGTGGTACACGCGCAGAGCTGAAAACATCAGTATGCCCAATATGAATTCTATTTGGGCAAGACATCCGTGTTAATGATATCTCCCAGCCAATTTCAAATAGCACAGAAAAAATAGCTGAAAAAAAGATAAGCTTCTACAGGACAGAAAAAGACATGTAGCACACTGCAATAGCATCACCTAAGCATTAGACTAGGATCCAGAGCTAGCCCACAGGTGGCTTTTGCCTAAAGCTCAACAACATCAGTATTTCCTATATTCTCCATACCATTTTAAAATGCCCCTATCACATACTATTCTTGATATCTTTGCATCGGGAATCATCTAACTTAGGTCATAGTCAGCAAGATCTTCACTCAATTTACAAGTGAGATAGCATTCTAGCTAATCCTGGCTGGTCCTTGCCAGCAGTCAAAAGCAACATTATATTTAATTATCTTCTGATAAGAAACAGTTTAGGTAATAAAGCAGGATGTCTGGGAAGGACCAAATAGAGGATTAAAATAAAGCCTGTAAGTACACTCACCTCGCCTCCATTTACATAGTCAAGCACAAAGTAAAGCTTCTCCGAGGTCTGGAAGGAGTAATGGAGTCCCACAAGGAAGGGGTGCTTCACATTTTTCAGGAGCACGTTGCGTTCTGCCATGATGTGGTTTTGCTAACAAAAAGCAGGCAAGGCAGAGTTTCAGCAGATGGGACTTGATCCTTGTCTGTAGGGCCTCACTGCTGTTTTCAAAACGGGTAGAAGCTCAAAGCCCTAAAGGGTCATTTCCAGCCCCAGGAAGGGAACCTCTCTATCTGGCCTGATCCATCTCAGTTTTTCTCCATATTCCCACAGCACAGAGAAATCTCTGTTTAACATGCATGTTGTCCACGTGAATGCAAGCCACAAGATACCTCAGTTGCTTTACCAGGACCACTATTTGCTGAAGTAGCCAACATACCTCCTTTTTCTTTAGGATGGTTTTCTTATGCAAGACTTTCACTGCATAAAAAGTCCCATCACACTTGCGTTTGGCCAGAAGAACCTGCAACAGAGGGTCTTGGTCACAGGTTTCGGTCTCACCTTCTGCTGTTTGGTTAGTGTTTCCTCATTAGCTCACTCTTGGGAGTGATTATACACAGGAGTACAGCTTCAGAGGGTCATGTACAAAGTTTTAAAGACCAAGCTCCCATCCTCTGACTTCCCAGCACTTTCCCATTGCCAGAAAAAAGCACACAACATCTCCACATATATCTCTTACACACCCAATAGAAAAGAGTTTTGGAGCGTTTGAGGACAGTCCCATTTAATGTGGATCCTTGCTATCTCACAAGGGAAAGATTTCTCTGGAGATATTTTGCTAGCCGAACAAGTCTGAAGCTTATTTTGAATTAAATACTGCTCCTCACCATCACCACCCTGAGCACAAAGCACCTCACGCTTCTGTCCTTAGAGAGGTTGCAGGACAGCTCAAACTAAGCCTAGACTATGACAGCACTTTCTCAGGTCTCATCTGGTCTCAGTCAGTCTCAGGCCAAACTCCTGGTGAAAGGTTCAAAGGACACAGCTAGAAACTTTCATCAAGAAAGTCTTTCCAAGCTGCCTCTAAAGAGCTGCAGCCCACCTGTACAAACCCACTTACTTTTCCAAAGCTTCCTTTGCCAATAACCTTCAGGAAGTCAAAGTCTGTTGGCTTGGCACTGTTGGGCAAGAATGAAACAAGTTAATGTTTCTGGGAGAGAAACATGCAACAGCAACACTACCATCAAAGCAGAGTTCCTTCTTGGAAACAGAAGTGTTTGTGAAAGGGATTAAAGGGCACTAGACAGGTGACCCTCGCTCCCAGCCGGCTCGGGATTCACACTGTGTACGTTGGTGCACCCAGAAGAGGATGGGCAATCCCTCAGCAACCCACCTGCTGAAGACAGCATCAGGTGAAAACACCGGTCAGGACCAAGCAGCACCTTTACAGGGGACACAGTTTACCCCCATTTCTAGAGAAAAATAGCTAGGGAGCCCACAGTGATGAGAAAGATCTTCCCTTACTACCTCTCAAAAAAAGAGGCGACAAGAGCCTGCAGACACAGACAGAAGCTGATTATGGTAACAAGGGCCAGCTATAGCTGAATGTCTTGAAGGCTGGTACATTGGTGATACACATAAAGGTCAAATAAAGTAATTGTTAGGACTTTTGCAGGCACCACCCATGTGAGACACAGACAAACTGCATTCCCCCTGCCAAACCTCTTCGCTGCACGCTCCACACCCAACCTGGCTTTTGCAGGGAGCTTACTTGGGGTTAGCAGAAGGTCCAAGGTTGATGTTGTCAGTTGGTGTCGGAGGCTAGAGAGGATAACAATATTAGTCACAAGGACCATGCTGCAGGTTGTGTATTCCTTTCCTCAGTACAGCATAATTAGCCCAAAGCCATTGATAAACACCCATCAGCAAGAGACACAGTGGGTGCTTTGGCAAACTTCAGCGATGGGGAAAGGGCGAACAGAGCTACGCACTAAAACAATATCATCCCCAAGCTGGAAACTGAACTAGAGTCTGTGCTGAAGTCCTCATCCCATACTTGCACAAAGTACTAAGCAACCACTTGGCTCCTGACTTAAGGCTTTCAAGACCCACTGTGCTGCCACAGAGAAGAGGCACTGTGGGACTCAGTTGCTCCCTGCAGCACCGAGATGAGGCACTCCCTACTGCTGTGCTAGGCAAGAAGCTCTGAGACTGAGGAGCACTTCTGCAGCAGGGCATCATCTCTCCCAAACCCTACAGTCCTCTGCTTACTCCCATTAAGCCCCAAAACTGCCAAGTCTGGAGCCTTGGAAGTAGTCTTATGCACACCCAGCACTACAGAGGTGCAGCCTCTCTCTTCCCAATGATGAGGAGGTACATACACACATGGTCTTCCTCCTCACCAGGAATCTTCCCCTGCCCAGACTCTGGAAGCATTATGCATTATCCAAAAGGCTATATAGGGCCTCTCTGCTCTCCTTTTTCTCCACGCAACATCACCCACAGGCACAAGGCAGCGGTAAGATCCTAACACAAGTTCTCCTCCTTGATTTTCTCCTACATGCACCAGTCCCTCTCCATCCCAAGGGTGAGGACTTGCTGGCTCAGAGTCGTGATCTCACCTGGGTGCTTTTGTCCGGGCTCCGTGAACGATCCATTAAAAAAGCAACTCGTTCAGCACTTGGAAGAAGAGCAAGCCAGTATTGAAAACCATTCAAGAGAGAAACAGCTTCACACCATTAACTTGACAGGGACCAGCACAGACCCCAGTGTGTGCTCCCCTCCATCATAAGAGACTTCACCTGACCTCCCCAGTACCCCCTCAGCAGTACTGCTGCTCCCAAGGGGTGGGGGTGCACATGCTCTGGGGGAGGCAGGGGACAGCGGGTGCATGCTGACAGGAGATGGGTGCAGGGAAGGTTCATGGGTGCACAAGTGATTTGAACAAGCACAGACCTATTAAACGCCACAGCCTTTGATTTGCAGTAGCAGAAACAGGTCAGGGCACAAACACATGAAGATCAGCACAGCCCCAGCAGCAACACAGCATCAGGGCCAGGTGAGGTTGCAGCCCTCCTGGCCACAGCCAGACCCCTCTGGAGGAAGATGCAGCCCCCACCCCACTGCACAGGGATGCTGTAGCACCCAGCCCTGCCACCCAGCTGCTGGGGCTGGCGAAGTTGGACTTGAACAACATTTGTTGTTCAAGCAGAGTGGATCCAAACCGTCACTGGGGATGGGTGGGTCCTTCCACCCCAGGGATTCCTCCCTCTTTAAGGGTTCCCCCCACACTCCTTGCAAAAGCAGCGTCAAAGAACTAACAGGGAAAAAAAAAAAAAAAAAAAAAAGGCAGGCAAGCAGCTCTGTTCCCTTCTCCCCTGCCCCAGAGAGCTTTGTCCATTCCCCCTCAGCCCCACCAACAGGGATGCTCTGAAGGCTTTCGCCCCCCCCCCACCCTGCCCCTTCCAAAGAGGGGCCCCAGAGATCCCACCGCCCTCCCCCACATCTCACCTGTGGGTGCTCCCCCTCTCCACCCCCACGCACCACCAGGTGCGGACCCACGGCCATCCCAGAGCCCCTCTCCTCCACGGCCGGGCTGACCATGGCAGGAGATGCCGAGCAGCAGCGGGTGCTGGCGGCTGTCCCCAGGGACTGCCCACAACTGGCCGGTGCCAGCCAGCTCCATTCACCGCCGAGCCAGCGCGGGGTTATCAGCCTGAGCTTTTAAAGGGCTCTCATCCCACCGAGAGCTTTTCATACTCACTATGAGCAGAGCCTGGAGCCGGAGGCCTTGATGGTTTGTCCTATCCTCTCACGGCCGTGCTTGATGAGTTCTGCGAGGAAAGTTGGAGCACTGAAGCCGATTAGCTGGCAGCGTGATCGCAAGTGCACAGAGGCACGTTTGTTCTTCACTGACCTTGCTCTTCTCTCCACAGCCACCCTCCTCCCCCTTCTACCCACGTACCAAAATAACGAAGAAATTATAGGAACCAGGACAGCTCCCCTCCCAGCCCTGCCAGGAGCCCTCAATAGCTCATAGGACAGGGATAAGTGCTACAAAACAGACACCCTCTCCCATGGCAGAAGGTACTTGGGTTAAAGCACCACCATCAAGCCTCCCTGAACCACTCCTGCGTCCCCAGGAGGGGACAAGGAGAGTGCTCACAAGGCTGATGTTGTACTGGGATACGTCACACACTTGGCACATCCACTGCCCCTTTCATTCAGGACTCTGCGAGTAATTAGGGACATGAATGAAACCTTTCAGGGCCCTGCAGGAGGTGAGCCAGCACACACACATGGCAGCAAGTGACTTGCCCAAGGACATGCAACCAGTGCCAGAAGCTGGGATTCCTACCACAGAGCATCCCTGCTGCTCAGCTGTGCAGGTGGTTGCCACCACCCATCATCATCATCACCACCACCTCTCCCTTTGCAGAGGTGCAAATTCCTGAGCCTGCTCTTTACTACACAGGCTGAGCAAGAGAAAAGCCTGAGAAGTGCAACCTGTATGGAAGAGTTTCTTGTTCTACTTAGGACTAAATAACAAAAATATTTCAATACTCAGTTTTACACCCTGGTTCTGCCTTAGTTCTGCTCCTGGAAGGAAAGAATGGATCAGAACATCCAAAGAAACACACACTTCCCCCCTCCCCTAAAAAAGGGCCTTTGTCATCCTGGAATAGCTCTTCTACAGACCAAAGAACTGACAGCACCAACTGCCAGAGTCCACCTCCCCAGGCAAGAATTTTGTAGGGCAACAAGTTTTGATGTAAACACAAGCCCGTTTACGGAGCCCTTCCTTCATGGGTCTTAGGATCTGCCAGATGGAGGGACCTGGACGCTCCAGAGAGCCACTGAGCTGGGCACCACAAGCAGTTCTGAGGTCTGGGTGCAGATCTGATGAGGAGCTGCAAGACAGGCTGTGGTTTTAAAGTTTCTGAATGGATAAGAATGGGAAAGTAGGAATTTAAAGAAAAACCCACAAACCATATAATGAGTGAGCTAACAACATCAGGCTGGTCTGAAACCCTGACTTTGTCTGATACTTTGCCCTGCAGCAGGTATATGAGCTTGGCCCAGCAGGCACCCACCAGCAAGGACAGCATGCAGGATCAATCCCCATCTCCTCCCACTGGGCACAGTCCTTATTTCCCTGACAGTCTGGCTCTCCCTGGCTCACCAAGGTCTACTGGAGGTCATCCAGCACCTGCCTTGGGGCTGCGCCTGTCCCACAGGCTGTTAGTCTTAGCAGGGGGACATCAGCCCTGCTGTCTCGGAGCAAGCAACGCTCCCTCCAGGCTCAGTGCCAGGGAGGAGGTGGCACAGGGGATAGCTGAGGGCACACGGGTATGTGTGGAACAAGCCCCAAGCTGCAAACGGCAGCAGTAGATAGAGGAGTGAGGGCTCCCATCCCCTGCCCAGGAGCCTCTCACCAGAGCAACCCAAGCAAGCCCTTGCAGTTTAACACCTCACTGCTACTCCGTACATATGGCTCAACCAGGTGATGCAGCCTGTTCCCTCCACATCTGAACCCTGACAAGCTTGGGTTTGGCCCCAGGGTCAGCTTGCTGCCCCCTGACACTGTTCTGATCCCAGACTCGGGGGTAAAATAATGACTCAGGCACAGGTGGCCATGTCACAGCTCGGGAGCACACAGGCAAGCCACAGAAACACGTCTATCCGGCTTAGAGGTCTTTTCTGGCAGCGCAGGATGCAGGACAAGGTCCCAACTTGCTCTGAGGGGCTTGGACAAGGCTGCTTTAGTGAGGTCTCCACAACCTGCAGCTGGGCAGGAGCATTGCTGCTGAGCAAAGGCTGCACAGCTCTTCCAGGGCCACAGCCTGGCAGCCCATTAGGCTTCCCTCCGCCAGCCCCATTCTGCTCCACTGATTCTTTGCTGGAAGGGAAGCTACTCAACAAGTCCCTGCTGACCAAGGGCAGCATTTTCCAACAAAGCTATTTCATTAAATGTACTTGCTCAGAGACAAGAATCTTTCTGCACTGAAGTACCACGCACATTTTTAATATCTGTATGTCCCCATCCCATATCACTTTCTATTCAGGCTCAGAGCCACCTTCCCCAGCCCGAGTCCACCTTCCAAGCCAGGTTAGCTTAAATCTCCCAAGCAGTCAAACAGGCTTTTCCTTATCACTAACAAACCCTACTCCCCCTAAAGCACAAAGATTTCCAGAGCGCACACATGCTGAACAACAGAATCAGAAATAGGTCACAAAAATACTCTGGAATCCTTGGTTGTACATGCCCAGCTACATCCCTCCTCATGCCTGCTGGGGCAGCAGGGATACTCCAGGCATGGCCAGGGCCACAGAGAGCATCAGCAAGCAAGTCTAGGAGTTTCCTGATGTGATGTGATTATTACATCCCAGGACCACAAATCATTGCACCCCCTGCCCCCCTCCTCAAAGACCATTTCACCCCTAACACCCAGGCCAGAGGCATCCCCCAGGCAGCAGGCACCCGCTGGCACAACATAAAGCTGCTACTTACAAGTTGGAGCAGTTACTGCAGCTAAATCTCCCCCTGCCAAGCATCCCTCAGTAACATACGTTTTTTTCCCAGCACAGCACAAGCAGCTCCCTCTTCCTTCAACGGTTCTGCCAGTGGTGACCCACATTCCCATGCTAGCCCAGCGTTATTTGCTACAAACACATTACTAATGCAACGCGTACCTTGCACGGAGAGGCAACCTCATAGACTCATCATCTGCAAAGCTGCCTCCCACCCTCTTCCCTGATGTCACTGCTCTCGGCATCGTTTCCTACCTAACCTAGATTGCAAACCCCTCCGAGCAAGTGCCTCATTGTCTCCCGCTCTGGGAAGGGCTAGTTGCCAGCATGGAGAGGCAAGGAGGCCCGGCAGGCTGTCACTGGGGGAGCAGGTGATGTTTTGGAAGGAGGACAGGGTTTGGAGGAGCAAGGTTGAGAGAGGAGCACCTATGGCAGCCCACAGCTTTCATCCAGCACAGGGGCTGCACACAGCATAAGGGGAAGATGCCCCAGTTTCAGCTCAGAGGAGCACAGCAGGGTGGGAAGGAGAGCTCCTATAAACACATGCTTTTACTAGAAAAAAAAAAAGAAAAAAAAAAAGCAACAAAAAATTCAAGCTTTTTGCTGCTACAGATCTAAGAGATAGCTCCAAGCTATCACCGAGCTCCACTTTCATTCCTATTGAGACACTAGAGCACACAGCAAGTCCAGGAAGAGGTTAGGAAAGACTCCAAAGGACTTCTTTACTTGAGGAAGCTTTCTTAGCTGCCCTCTGCAGAGCTCCTGACTTGTCCAGTTTTCTCTTGCAAGTCCTTTCCCTTACACCCCAGGGACACTACAAACCAGAGGAGGAACCCCATCCAAACAGACCCAGACCTGAGCAAGCTGGAGTCCACAAACAACCCTCCAGATTCTAGAAGAAAAACTACATGCAAAGCTAGAAGGAAACAGCAGGTGGCTAAAGCTTATAGCGTTTTGCAAAACATAATCCCATGAAAAGGGAGAACAAAGCATTAAACGCACCTGGGAGCACATCTACCAGCAGAGGCTGAGTCCTGAAGCACGGGAAGCAGTCCACAGCCAGCGAGCACAGAGACCCCTCATTCCCCACGCTTCCCATCCTCACACCAGCCCACCCTGCCAGACCAGAAACCCCAGGATCTTTCCTAAAACTCAGAAGGGAATAGCTTCGTTCCTTACAGCAGTTCATTTAACCTACAAGCACCCCCACCTTCCCAGGGCAATCATGCCACCACTGCTGCCTCGCTGCAGCCCTTTAAAGAGAGCAGGAAAAGCTGATCAGCTGCAAAAAATGAAGAGACACCTGCTAGATATAACCGATGAGTGAGAATTCAGGTGGAGTGGTAGTTTTGAATGAGGAGGGAGGAGTGCAGGTGGTGGGTAGGAGCAAATTACATCCCGCCAGGCATCTCAGGTGTTGAGAAGAATTTTTTAGATATTAGTAAGCTGGAAATTTGCCCGCTGTCCTGTGGTTTAGGAGGAAGGTCAAAACTGTCATTTGGTTCAGGTCAAACCCAGAAAAAGCTGCTCCTCCCAGTGTCCTCCACCGACCTGGGAAGGCTGCAGCCCAGGGTAGCCAGACTGGCACTTTGCAGCAGTATTAAATGCAAACATAAACATGTATGGAGGAGAAGACCTGGTGTTGGAGGCACATGATGATTTGAGAGAACAGAGACTAAGCCCTGAGTAAAAGGAGACATCAGAGAAGGGCTGATGTCTTCTCTCTCCGTTAAAAATAAAGCAGTCGCTTTTTGCTTCCATTGTAGTTTCCTATAAAATCTCCCTGTGTACATCTGCAGCAGGAGAAAAGCCAGCATATAGAGCAAGTTAAGGGGGGGTGAGGTACACGGCAGTAAAGGCAGAGCTCTGGGCAGCCTTCCCTGGGGGGAGCAGAGGGGCTGGTTGTTGTGGGACAGGTTCTAACCCCAGACTCCAGCCACCAGAAGGAAATCATCCGAAACATCTGATGGGCTCATTGCCACGTGTAACGAGAGTGGGGAAGCAGTATGTTGCTTGAAATATTGTTCTCTTTCAGGTCAACGCCTGCATTTTTTTTCTCTGCCAACATCCTCAAGCTATTAGCATCACCAGCTTTTAAAAATACCTCCTAGTATGTTTTTATTTTCTCAGGTTTTGCCTCTACTTACATTGAAATGGTCAAGCATCAGAATACTTTTGGCAGCTATCATACGTTTTCAAATCAACACTGTCTGCTTTTGTTTCTTTCAATAAAAGCCTTGGTATTATCGACAAAATCTACTTGATTTTATTTTCTACAGAAAGGCATCTTTAATTAAAAACTCATTTTCTATCCTAAGAAGAGAAAGCAGAAGGATCCTGGAAGGAAAAGTTTTAAAAGCTAGAATGCGAAAAATATCTAATCTGGAGCTCGGTCACTAAAGACAATAGATATGGATGGACAAGACAATGGCTGGGTTGGTTTTGTCCCTCCTGCCCTCTCTGTTGGTAAGCGTTGCTGATGCTCAAGGGCTGTGCCCGCGCTGGCTGTAGCTCGGGGCTGTGCGGAGCTGCCGCCCCCCTCGCACACAAAAACCTCCTGGCCCCGCTGGGAGCCGGGCTCCGTTCAGCCCTTGCCGGGCAGGGCGAGCCCCAGCCAGGCTGGGCCACGGCACGACCCGGGCCGGAGCCCTCCTGCGAGGCTGCAATGGGGCTCTGCCCTCTGCCAGCTGTTCCGCAGCCCAACGCCGGCAGGAGACCTCCGTGGGGAAGCCTCCTTCATGCCCTCACCATCCCCAAGGGGTTAGTGACACCGTACCAGCCAGGAGCATTACCCTTCGTCTTCCCCAGGGCAGTGGAGGAAGGCTCCATCCAGGCCATGTACATAAAACCAGCCGAAATAGTCCCCTCTCCTTACGGCTGGGGCAGGAGCTCAGCGACCGGCAACGGGCGTCCTCGGGAAGTGGAGCACGCAGACGTTTCTCTGGCTGCAAAGGCGAAGGGCACACGAGTAAGAGTAGAAACAAGCCCCGGGGTGCAGCGCTGGCTCCGGGGCGCGGGGCCGGCTCCCTGACCCCCGCCTGGCCAGCAGCCACCCCACGCTCGGTCTGGTGGAGATCACCGGGGTGCTCTGCCACCGCTCCGGTGTCCCTCTGCACTCCTCTGGGAAGTGCTTTGGGACTGGCAGATGGAGGGCACTGGAAGAGAGCTGCGTGGCACTGGTCGGCTGTTTGGCTTCTGCACAACAGACGAAATTTCCCCTGCAGCTGTTAAATTTACAGATTTCTGCTCTCGGGAAAGGATTTTGTTGTTTGATGCTTTTGAGGAGATGAGGCTCAGCTTGTTCTCTCTGTACCCAGGGTGACCGCCCTGGCACTGGTGGCTCCCTGGCACAGCTGAAGACATTCCCTGGAAGCACAGGGACACGTGGACTGCCAGTAAATCCCCAGCACAGGGCAGGTCCTCACCTGGGGATTCCACATCAGACACCACCAGATGCCTGGGGCAGCTGCAGAGGTCTTTGCCCTGGAGACCCCCCTGGCTCTCCCTGGTGAGGTGTCCTGGGCAAGCAGTTATCCCTGTGATGGAGGACACGAGGGGCAGCCCTCCCCGTGTACAAGAGGTGAGACTTTCCCCTTCACCCTACCCCTGTGCACCCACGGCCATGGCCAGCAGCAGCTCTTGCCCCTTGCCCACGACAGGACACGTTAGTGCCACGCTGAGTGTGGGAGCGCTTGCAGGGCACATACATTATATAGACACACATCCCTATAGATGCTGCAGGCATGACCGTGCACCCCTTACACCAGGGCTGGCCCTGGCCCATTCCCCTGCCCAGCACCTGCAGGCTCCTAAACAAAATTAAACAATTCTAGTAAAGCCAGAGACCTGCTGGTGTCAGTGTTGGGTTTTTGTTGGCGTTGCTGGTCCTCTGTGTGGGGGTAGCATTTCCCTGCCCTCCAGAGAGCACAACTATGCCAGGAAAAACTCTGGCTGGACCTGGGTTCAGAGGTGATGAGCCGCCCTCAGGCAATTTAACCCCTTCTGTGCACATCTGCTGCCTGGGCTGGACTTGTTCAGACCGTGGTGGGAGCAAGCCCTGGCCACAAAAAGGTGCTTTTTTCAGCTGCACTGGCACAACTCAGAGCCTCCAGACACTGCCTGTGCTTGGAAACATTTTCCTTTTTCCCCCTGAGGGAGGAAAGCTGCCTTCATTTCCCCAAGCCCTAGAAGGGGTGGAGGGCTGTGTGGTCCTCAGCAGCTGAGCCTGGTCCCTCCCAGCGGGTCCTGTCCTGGCCGTGCCCCAGGGGAAGCCACATCTGCAGCTTCTCCGGGGGCAGGACACATCCAGTGAACAACAGGTCTGGCCTATTGTCTCTACACACAGAGAAGTATCCCTCTCTCTCTCTATTACATAATTTTATATATTATGCATATATGTTATTTTATAGGGAAAGGTATCTTAATGCTGTTATCTAGCAATATCCATAACCATAATCATAAAGGTATCACTGAAGTGGAACCACACAGTCCTGAGCAATCGGAATTGCAGGGAAGGGTCCAGATAAGATTAAAACAAATATTTCTCTAGAGAGCACAAAGCCATTTTCCCTCGACCTGTAGTGAAAGGTGACCTAAAATGTTTGGCTACTCAGTTATCTCTGCTGGGTAAGGAATAAGATAGGATAGGATAGGAATAGGATATTCTTTAAAAGGCCAGAGCCTATTTCTTCATCTTAAGAGGATTCATGAAAGACTAAATAGACTATTGGTGAACACTGGGGTTCTTTAATTATTTTTTTTCCCCTCTCTACATTTTTCTTTTAGCTTCAAAAAGCCTCAGGCATTGCCCTTGATTTTGCTTAGGAGTCCCACGTGGGTCCTGGGAAGTTCCCCATGTTTTGGAGAAAGGAGCCAGGAGGAGGCCACTCAGGATCAGGTTTTTATTCTGAAGTACAGCTAAAGTGAGTTTGAGCAACTCCTGCAACTTTCAGTGCATCTGTTTCTACAAATATGAACATGGCAAAATGTCACTGATCTCTTGTAAAGCCTTTACATCTTCAGAGGAATAAATGCCTGATCTTATTATTGCCATTACATTAGTTAGCTTGGATTTTCTTGCTCTCGAGTGGTTTTTAAGTGTAGGCACAGTCTCAGTGAATAAATAACATGAAGTTAGAAGCAGACTGACTCTAAGCAACCCTTCGTCTCCTGGCTGGCCAGCCTTGTCCTTGGGGAAGGTGCAATTCTCCTGCTTGCCATCCTCTCCTCCCCAGCAGGACCTCAGGACACATGACAGCCTATGTTTTAGAACCTTTCTTAAAAAAACAAACAACTGTTTTTTGGGGATGAGTGCCTCTTTTCTGTCAGTTTTTTTTGCCGTCAGTCTGATGCAGAGTGCACACTCAGGGCCACCACCCGCAGCTCAAGGCCTGAGCGTGACCAGCCTGGTGGGGACAAGGGCAGAGAGGCAGTTTCCCAGCTGGATTGAGCAGGGCTTAGCAGCTCAGCGACGGCTCGGAGAGCTGCACTGCCTGAAACCAGGCCCCTTGCTGCTGGCACAGTGCTGGGTTTGTTAGAAAAGCTAGTGAACAAAGCGTCCCTGGGAATGCCTCCCCTCTGCCCTGCTCCATCCCCATCCCATCCCCATCCCCGAGAGCTGCTGACTCCAGCTCCACTGCATGGGATACATGTTTTCACCCCTTTTTATCCACATGCAAAACCTGGGAAGCGACTGGTGCTGGCACAGCTGGATACTGCCTCCAGTAGAGATATATATACTGGATCCAGCAGGCAGCCCAGTCTAAACTGGGCCAAGCGCTGCTCCAGGCATTGCCAGGACCCTGTGCAAGAGCAGCAGATCTGTGCTGAAGTCTGCTGAGCCCACTTCTGTTCCCCTGCTCTGGCACCAAACAGGAACAGCCCTCCCTGTCCTGCTGGAGAGGGGGTGAGGGATGCCCCCTTAAAGGGGTGCCAGACACAGCACCCACCCCTGGGCTTTGCCATTCTGGGGAGATCACAGCTGAAATAACTGAAATTTCTGGTGCAAACCTCATCCTTCTGGTGCTGGCTGCGAAAGCCCAGTGCAGCCCAGGTGGCTTGGGGCCACGGGAACACACATGGTCAGTCACCAGCTACCTCTGCTGATCTGCCAGCTCCTGAAATTACCCACGGTCAGAAACACTTGTGGCTGCTCCCCACGGGAGCTCACCCAGGGAGGTGAGCTGATGTGGCGCTGCGGACACAAGCAGGTGATAGAAGTTCCTTGTGATGGAAGTTTTATGGGGGAGGCACAGTTAATGCCAGAAACCTTTCCAACCAGTACAATATTTCCAGGGGGAGCAAGGAGGCTGCTCATCTCCTCTCTGGGTTCCTCCACAGCTGGGAAACAAACCCACTGCTGGACCTCAAACCCCCTCCAGCCGCTGACCCTGAGCGAGACCCCCAGGGAGCAGCTCTCCCACAGGCCAGCCAGGTCCCTGGCACCAAGGGACAAGTCCTTGACAAAAGCCTCTGCTCCTCCCAAAGGGCTTCAGGACCTCGTTAAGAGAAGGGAAAGTTGCGATCATTCCAGAGAAAGTAAATCGGCATTACCTGCAGAGAGCGAGGCACGGGGAGCCGGGCTCCTGGGCTCGGGCAGCGGGGCCGGTGGGCACTGCCACGTCCAGCTGCGGGAAGCAGCATGTACCACTCTCCCTCCGGTTGTTTTTATTTTGGTGATTCAGTCTGAAGGTCGAAGGAAAAGTCCAAAGGAGTGGCTTGTGGCAGGAAGTAAATGATTACCCTGCCACCGCTCTGCGAGGGGACCGAGGCACGGGGAGCTGGGGTGGGAGAGAAAAATCCCTCCTTGGGGGGGATTAGAGGGCAGCTTGCTGGCAGGGAAGCGCAAAGAGTCAGAACAAAGTGCTCTGTTCCCCGGAGGCTGTGCCGGGTCACATGCCGGGGCCTAACAGGGGTAATGAGGCATGGGTCACCTCCCAAACGCCAGCCAGGCCTCCTGCGTGTGGACGTGACCCATTGCCAATCCACCCGGATCCACGGAGGCTGCCAGCAAGGAAGGACGTGGGTGAAGTGGAGCCTTGTCCCCTGGCAGCAGCACATCAAGGGTGGGAGATCTGAGGTCTTTTACAAGCTTGAACTTTGCAGGTGTGGCAGTCCTACAACCTCACTTCTGCCTCCTGCGTGACCCTTCTCTGGCTCCACACTCCCCATCCTGGGCCACACGTGTTCAAGAACAAACACCTGAGCGGCCAGCGAGGACTGATCCCCGTGGACACATCAGAGCTGGCCCCAGAGGAACCCTCTTGGAGGCAAAAATCTACTGCCCTCCATTCATCCCCCTCCATTTGCTCCTTGTTCCCCTCCTTTCCTCTCTGCAGGTGCCCAACACCAGTGGGCACCACATCGCTGCATGAGTGGGTGCCCAAATAATGGTTTGATAGTTGAGCATGCTGGTGGAGTCACTGCTGGTCACTGCTGGAGCCTCCGGCTCCTCACCCAAAATACAAACTTCATCTGCGGGAGGCATTTTCTGATTACCCAGGAAAGTTTCTTTCACTCAAAAGCCCTTTTGCACCTGCCCCTCTCGTGGGAGTGGACCGCGATGTAGTTGGTCGATAGGTCCCACAGCTCTGAGAAAACGTGAATGGCAGCACAATTCCTCAAGTGTTTGTCAAGCTGCTGACCTCTCACCGTCGGCACGTGCCTGTCTTAGCTGGGTCTGTGAATCCCAAAGTAGAGAGGAGAAATAAAAAGGGTCACTGGACAGGGAGGCCATTACAAAAGCGAAGGGGTGAGCTGAGGCAGGATTTGAATACACAGATGGGTACAAAGGTGTATAAAATGAGATGACATTGGTGCCACCATCAAGATAAGCATTTTCTGAAACAGTCTGGAATACCTGATTTGGAGCATCCAAAGTTCATGAAGACAAGAGAGCCAACTGCCACCACAGCCCAGGTCTCCGGCTCCGGGTGTGTGGGGAAAGGCAGAGCCATGCCAGCCCCAGCCCCAGCGGCAGCACACGGAGCGGAGCGGGCTCAGCCCTCGCCTTGCTCCACCTCCCACCGATGGTCCCGTTGGGTGGCATGAGCTGTGCGGGTGCATGAGGATAAGAGAGATTTGATATTACCCTGATATCTTGGGGAACAAACCCAATTAGAGGTCCCTATTGTACTTGAGAAGCCATAAAGACACAGAGAGAGAAATAAATCTGTTCCCTACTATTGCAGAGAGGGCCTTTGTCTTGTTTTCAGAATGAGAAGGTTTAGAGGATTGGTGCAGCACATGACCAGAAGCTATGAAGCTGCAGACAAAAGCCACTTGGAACAGAGATCATATTTTGCCACCGTGCTGGCTTTTCAGAAGATTTCTGCTTTGTCCAAGTTAAACCTGCTGCTATTTTGGGGTTTATTTTGCTCATGCCACTGCATGCCCTGCTTTAAAGGCTGCACATCTCCAGCGACACTGGCTTCACGTATGCTTTCACTGGCATCAGCACAGCACCAAAATGTCTGCTGCAGCAGGCTGGAGGGGGCTGCCTGTATTTCCAGCCCAAGTCACAAGGGTTGCACCAACAGCTGCACTCATTCCAGCCCCGGACATGTTTAGAGGACAAAGCCTCGGTTTATCGCTCCAGCTTGCTGCGCGGGCTCGTTTCGCAAGCTCATCCTACGTCAGCCACGAGTGTGCGTCGGCACCCGGCAGGAACACGGAGGAAAGTGCTTGAGCAGAACTGACAGCGAGACAAAGCCCATTGGGGTGCTCTGGATAATCACTGGCTTTACCACAGCTGGGAACTACAGCGAGCCAGACGCTGAGATGCCCTGTCATCCCTGGGACCCGCACAGCCTGCTGCCAGGCATCACGGGGCAGCCAGAAATGCCTCGCAGAGTCCCTCCAGCCAGACAATATCTCTGCTCCCAGGGAATTGGGGGTTTGGGGGGGCTGTGCCAAGGCTGGACTCAGGGATTTGGGGTGCCCTTGGAGAGGTTGAGGGCACCATGCTCCCCTGCTCTGCACCTGGAGGGATAGGAGCAAGGAGCCCTCAGCTGCCCTGACTTTCCTCGCACTGTCACAAAAAACGCATGAATTATCTTACAGCCCCAAATATACTGAAAGAAGAAGCCATTTCTGTTCACAAGGGGAAAAAAAAAAAAAAAAAAAAAAAAGTACCGAATGAGGTGTAAAACCTTTGCAAAGCTAAAGCTTCATAAACCGGTTTCCATCATCATGTGCCCTGAACCATTGAAGTTTTGGCCCCTGAAAAACACAAAGACCTGGCACAGGTTAGTCTGTGAGCATCCCGAATCGGCGCGTAGGCAGCCGCCCGCAAGCAGAGGCGAGCGAGCTGCGTGACCGCTGCGGCACGGTGGCTGTCCTGGCTGCGTCCCCTCGCTTCCTGCAATCCCCGCGGGGATCACAGAAGGAAAAAAGGCCCCGAAAACCAGCCCCGGCAAAGGAGCGTGTTAACCTGCCAGGGCTCCTCAGCTCTCCACTTACTCCCAGGATCCGAGGGGTTATCTCCGCCCTAGGCAGGGCAGGGAGAAGGTGTGCTGGATCTCCCATGCCGGTCCCTTCTCAGCACCCTAGGGAGAAAACAAAGCTGGAACAGAGAGAGCAAGGCAGAAGAAAAAGCAGCGGGCACCCGGGCGGGCTGTCCCCCGCGGCGATGGGATGGACGGCTCCGCGCCCGGCCGCGCCGTCGGGCGAGGGCGCTGCGCCGCCGCCGAGGCCCCGGGCAGCGCCGGGGGGGGACCGGGGGGCTGCCGGGGGATGGGGTAATCACGGGTCACCTGCACCGGGATGGGGATGAGAGTGAGGGTAGGGGTGGGAGGGAGGGTGAGAATGGAGATGGGGATGAAGATAGGGATGGGGATAGGGGTGAGGATGAGGATGGGGATGGGGATAGGGGCGAGGATGGGGATGGGGATGAAGATGGTGAGGATGGGGATCGGGATGAGGTTGAGAATGGGGATGGAGCACAGCTGGATACCCCCAGGAAAAGGGGCTGGCAAGGAGGGAAACACGGCCAATCTGGGGTGCAGGCGCCCCACCACGATGCCCCCACTCCCACCCTCACCCACGGCGCCACACGTCCCTGTCCCCACGCGGAATAAACCCCCACAGCTCCCCTGCGCTTTCCTTTCGGAGGCCGTCCGGAAAACCGCCCACAATGCTGTTTTCTCCGGGAAGAGACATCACCCCCCTCCTGCCCGCAGCTCCTCTCCCCGGCTTGTGCCACCCCACCTGCCCCCCGCCCCCCGGTACCGCATTGCAGAGCTGCCCCAGCTCCGCCAGCTCGGGCCAGCCGGGGAGGGGGGGACCCCCCAGCCTCTACCGGGGCTCAACACCATTTGGGGGCATTAAGAGGAGCCCTACGGGGACCTCTGCTCTGCCCAGGCTGAGGGAGTGCTGCCGGTGGGACACCCCCCCTGCCCCACCCTCGCACCATCCTCATCCCCTCTGTGCAGCGGCAACGGGCAGACAACAAATTAGTTGTTGTGGCTTTTAAATCGGTGTGAATCGAGGTGGTTTCGGTCACAGGGGTGGAGCGTGGGGCTGATCCCTGCCGCGGGGGGGGGCAGCTCCACGCTCCGCACCTGTGGGCAGGGTGGAGTGAGTTTGGTTCAAGCCAGAGAGTACCCCCAGCCCCTAATTTCATTTATTTCTCCCCCCCCCCCCCCCCCCCCCCGCATTTGTTAGTTTGTAAGTAGTTTATTTCCTCTCCTTCACAAGAACAAAAATCTTGGGGTACGTCTGCAAACTCCCTCCATCCCTGGAGTCTGAGCACTACAGGGTAAAGCAAAGCTGGGGGGCTGGGTGAAAGCAACCCCCCTCATCTGTAGGACGACCCCCTTCCCAAAATATAAATGTCCTACCTCTTTCAAACAGCTTAATCCCACTCTTGGTGACAACCCAGCGCTGCCCCTCCATCACCACCGAGGATGTGTGGTACCCCCTGACGCAAGCGGGCGCGGGGAGGATGACCCTCCCTCTGCCCCTGCCCCCACGAAGCAGGCCAGCCTCATTGACTATGTTTTCTCTTTATTGTTTGATATATTTATGTACCACATTATATGTTAAAGATAGAATTTTTTTTTTTTTCTGATATACATTTTTCATCTTATTTACCACAATGACACCACACATACATTGGAAACAGCTCCACGGATCTGGTAGATTGCACAGAATGAATTGTGTCGTAGTTTTGTTCCTGTATCCTGAACAACGTCAAATCCAACATTTTTTTTTTTTTTTGAAACCTTTCATAATTTTGAAATAACAATTGTTAAACCAAAACGAAAGTCACCAAGATGTGGACTCCAGGTCTGCGATTTCAGCCAGAGGCAAAAGAATGTGATCGAAGGGAAGCGCCGTTCCTCGGTGTGAATTCGGATGGAAGAATTAAGCAGCCCTGACATCTATGTGACTACGGTGTAAACATTGCAGGTAACTGGCATCGCTGGTCATCAGCTGCTGCTTGGACTTGTTGGGCTGGTCGTACAATCTAGGTCTCATCTACATCCACCTTACACAGTGTAAAACGAAAGTCCCTGCTCCCAGCACCCAGGGCTGGTTTGCTTCGTCGGTGAGCGCAGTAACCCAATCCCAGCGGATTGGCACCCGTGTTTCAGCTCCTGAAACACTGAATTGCATATCTGTAAGGAGTATTGAAAACTGCGACTGTCTCCCAACAGGT